ATTTCGTCTTGCGCGCGCGAATGTCCACTTTACCTTATTTTTTGCAAGGGATTCTTGAAATTTGATTATATTTGAACAAGAAATTTCATTTTATAGTGTTTTTTGCAAGGGAAACGGATTACAACAAAACAACCGGATCTTGATCACCTCGAATTACCTGAGGCTTCCTCACGAAAATGATGAAAACGTGGCTGCGGCCTAGGCGCGGCGGGGGGGGCGCGCACCAGGGGGCCCAACAATAATTATTCTTTAGAATTAATAATGTTCAACAACCACAACAACGACAACAACAACAACAACACCAACACCAACACCAACACCAACACCAACACCACCAACAACAATATCAACATCAACATCAACAACAACATCATCATTAACAACAGCAACAACAACAACAACAACGACAACAACAACGACAACAACAACAACAACACGGTTGCAGGGCGGCTCCTTTTCAAACTGGGGCTGTCACTCAAGATCCGCGCACCACGTATGATGATGAAATTACTACATTTACGCAACACCTACACGGAATGAGGGTAGATAGTTTTCAAAACGAGGCTATCGCTGGGCTTCCTGGAACTGTATCTTCCTACCTGTTTGCGTTCCCTGCAGCTGGCAGGAGAGGGCAGATCATTTACACGAGAAGGCCTCGCCTGAGATGCAGGCCCACAGGGCGCTTTGCCATTCAGGGGGGCGCCACCCGCAGTGGAAAGTATGGTTGTAGGGACTTACGGGGAGAGGCCTTGGGACGGGACGGAAGAGCATGGCATCGTTGGTGCAACCTGGGTTTACTCTGGTCCTCCTCTTCAACCTTATCCTCCCTCCTCCTCCTCCTCCTCCTCCTCCTTCTATCCTCCTCCTCCTCCTCCCCTCCTCCTTCTCCTCCTCCTCCTCCTCCTTCTACCCTCCTCCTTATATCCTCCTCCTCCTCCCGCATTCAGCCACCCTCCTTTTCCTCCTCATCCTTACTCCTTATTCGCGCGTATACACACTCACTCTGCCACCTAGCCGCCGGATAATGGCACCCGCATCTGGGCCCTTCCACCCGACCAAATAAAAGCACTGCGAAGTCTACGCTTTGCCTCTCAACCTGGACGTTTCGTCGCCGACGCTGCAGAATGCGCTGCCAGCGTGGCGTACGAAAAGGGGCGAAATGTCGTTTCCGGCTCGGTGCCGCACTCATCTTTGGTGGCGCACACTACGGGGTAGGTGGAGGGGATTGAGGCTTCTTAGGAGGGGGGCTGCTTCTTAGCAAGCGCCGGCCTTGCATCTATAGAGAAGGCCCGTGCCTTCTAAGAAGCAGGGGTGCTTCTGAGAAGCCTTCCCCTCTCCCCCCATACCCCCCTCTGCGCGTGGTCGACATGCTCTTTACGAATTGACTTCCCTTTTGGGCGCGGCGCACACGCATCCCCCGCCAACTCATCGACAGCGGGGTCGCGCACGAGCGGGCGAAATGTCGGTCTCGCCTCGGCGTCGAGCAGACTTCGCCCGAAGATGCCGCCCACGCTCTTGGGCACGGCGCACATCGCTCCCTCGCTAAACCTCTGGGGGGCGGTGCCACGCGCGAAGCGGACGGACTCTCGCTCTCGCCTGGGGCCCCCGTGCAGACTTCGCCTGGAAGTGGCGCTCCCGCTCTGGCGCGGCGCACCTCGTCCGGCGCGGGAGAGCGACAGCGGGGCCGCGCGAGAGCGGGCGAAGTGCTGTCCTCGCCCATGCACCGCTCAGATGTGGCGTGAGAGTGGCAGCTCTGCCTTCGGCACGGCGGACGCGTGCGCTTCGGCCTCGCCGCGCTCCTCGGACATTGGGCCGCGCGTGCGCGGGCGAGATGGTGCTCTCGCCGCAGCGCCGCGCGAGGGTTTTCTGAAGTTCCTCTCGCGCCCGCGCGCGGACCGTGTTTTTCCCTTTGCCAAGTCGTTGGAACGGACTGGGGGGTGCGAGCGCTTCCCGCTCGCTAGGGGTGTCGCGCGCCAATCCCAGTATCAAATGAGAGGACGGGTGGGCATGGGTGGGGTCCGCTGACTCGCTCGACCTGGCAAACTTGATCATTCTCGTCCTCCTCGTCCTCGTCCTCCTCCTCCCCCTCCCTCCTCTTCTCCTGCCTCCTCCCTCTTCCCCTGCCCTCATCCATCCTCCATCACCCTCCTCCTCCTTCCTCATGCCTTCTCGTCCATCGTCCCTCGCCATCCCTGTTCTAAATAGACGAGTACTTATCTTGTCGCACCACCAGACGTGTCCGTAGGCTGGGCTAGGCGTTTCGTTTGAGACTTCCCTGCGATTTCCTACCCCGACAGTTCGGGAATCCAGCAACTACAGGGATGGAAGGTCAGTGGTCTTTGAAATGTGGCTCTCGCCGTAACGCCGCGCACAGTCATCTTAAACACTTCCAACAACGACGCGCGCTGAGGCCAGCACGTGTTCAGACTGGGGCTCTCGCCTGTGAGCTCGTCACAAATATTATACCCGAGGAAATCTCCACCTCTGGATGTTGTGAAATTGTCGCAGGTACTTCACGCCCGCCTCCTCTCGCTCTCTTTGAGAGAGAGAGAGAAATAAAGAAAGAAAGACAGAGAGAGAGAGAGATAAGATACTATGTTTAACTATTTGGTATACCCTTGCAGCTCGCTCTGCACTCGTATATCGAACCCCTACTTCCTACTATATATAATGTATCTCGATATCTATATGTACCTTTCTCTGCTATATCATTTATTTCGTATGTATACTCTCGTATGTACTACCAGCTCTATCACTCTGAAATATTAGAACGTACATGTACACGTGCGTGCACACATATACTTGCAATCTGTTATTCCTGTGCACACACAGTGCATGTTGACCGTGGCCGCATGTACTCTACGCGTATCTAGATATGCGCTAACTCTTTTTTTCTCTCTCTATCTCTCTCTCCATTATGTTCAATCTCTCTCTCTCTCTCTCCCTTTCTCTGCTACTATTATGCTCACTATATCCTCCCAAGCCGCTTTGTTCCCCATGTCCTAAGATGGGACTCGCGTTATTACTCTGACGCCGCCGACTCTTCACTCAGGCCTCCTCCCAGTTTCGCCTCCTCCTGTTTAGATTCGTCCATATTCAGATTCCTTCGCACTCATACTAATCAGAGTTGTTCACATTCAGACTCACTCATACTCATACTCTCTCGGAATCACTCATGCCAAGACTCTGTCGCAGTCACTCGTTCATATCCAGAAGGTTCGGAGGATGTCTCAGGTGGGTGTTGGTTCCAAACCCCCAAGGGGAGCCGCCAGTGGGGTATCGCACGGCCTCTCAGGCGTTTTGCTTGTTTCGGTGCCCAACATCGTTTGTGTTGACAGCAGTTTGTGAGGATGTCTCAGGCGGGGCGCTGGCTTCAGCACTCCTAAGGGGAGCCGCCAGGGGGTATTGCACGGGCCCGCTCGCGGCCAGCGTGTGGGGATGTCTCAGGCGGTTTGCCTGTGTCGTTGGCCAACACCGTTAACATTTAAACCAGATTGTGAGGATGTCTCAGGCGGGGCGCTGGTTTCAGCACCCTTAAGGGGAGCCGCCAGGGGGTGTTTTCACAAACCCATTCACGGCCAGTTTGTGGGGATCTCCAAACGGTTTGCCTGTTTCGGTGGCCAACATCGTCTGCGTTGAAACCCGATTGTGAGGATGTCTCAGGCGGGGCGCTGGTTCCAGCACCTTTAAGGGGAACCGCCAGGGGGTACTGCATGGGCCCGTTTGCGGCCAGTCTGTGGGGATGTCGCGAGCGGCTTGCCTGCTTCGGTGGCCAACATCGTCTGCGTTTAGCGCAAATTGTGAGGATGTTTCAAGCGGGGCGCTGGTTTCAGCACCCCGAAGGGAAGCCGCCAGGGGGTATTGCACGGGCCCGTTCGCGGCCAGCGTGTGGGGATGTCTCAGGCGGTTTGCTTGTTTCGGTGGCCAACATCGTCTGCGTATAGAACAGACTGTTGTGAGGATGTCCCGAGCGGGGCGCTGGTTTCAGCACTCCTAAGGGGAGCCGCCAGAGGGGTGTTTTCATGGGCCCGTTCGCGGCCAGCGTGTGGGGATGTCTCAGGCGGTTTGCCTGTTTCCGTGCTC